ATACACATAGAAGTGACACAGCTAGGCAGCTTGTCTTTCACTTCAGAAATCATAAGTGGGCGGGTAGAAATTGACAAGCAAAGGGTGGCGGCAATATAAGTCCGTTAATATAACCATGGTATTAATGACGTTCAAAACATTTACCACATTATTATTTGATCCACAAAATCAATAAGAGTATACAACCAACTTCTGTACGCCATTCTACATATGAACAGTGACGTATAAGAATGGACTTAGTGAATCACCGAATAGTTACATAATCACAAAACTTTTCAAACTTTTACTAGTCAAGTTACATTTTAAAAAAATTATTAGATTAAAAGGAAGAGACAATCTAATCATTTGATCGCCTTTTTGGGATTTTGCAGGAATTATGACTGGCTTTCAGTGTAGACTATGTCATCTCTTTAAAATCTGAATATCACTTTCCCATCGAATAGTGGCTAAAGTATGAAAGTCATGAACTTCTAAACAAAAGTCATGATCGAATGACCATTGACGACACCGGTGATGACACTGTGACCCTTTACCACAAATTAGGAGAAGTTAGAGCTCACAGTTCAGTGGTTGAATGGTTATAGCATGGAGGAATCGCCTCATAATGAGAAAGTTCTCGGCTCGATTCCTCGTAAATATGCACTGTTGGAAAAACCTAAACTACAATTAAACAGTCATCAAGTGTTCCATGATTTTCAATGACTTGCTAACTGATGACGGTTCATGACAGTACCAAACAATATCGTTGCATGGTAATAGATGGTTGGAGGCAATCGGTCACAGGAAGCCATGCACCTAGGTTTCGTGCTAGTTGGCACTCGTCACCAAGGCGTATTTGCAACCTTGGAGGCACTCATATCCCTCCTGAGATTCGAACCCGCGTCACCCAGTGCTGCCTTCAGTCAGAGACGTTACCACGGAGCTATTCGGGCTCGCGACTGACCTCCTGTAGGACTATAGTGGATATTTTGATTTGATACTAGTAACCAGTGTGACTGATAGAATTCAGTCCACACCAATCAGAGGACTAGACGCATCCACTAGTTACTAGTGTCAAATCAAAATATCGTTACATATTTGTTTCTCACCTCAGTAATATTTCGAGCAAAATTAATGACCTTGATTACACTAAACAATGGAGTTATAGTAAATATTCCCGTAGCATTATAAATAGAAATATTAACCAGTATAACGATCAGTCTAATCTGACTGATAACAAAGTATGACAGACACTCAGCGTTTCTCCGTCATCTCCATATACTTATTTGCATAACTGGTACTATGTTACTATGTCTACGACACAGTCGATGAAAGTACACAACGATAAACACATAGTAACCTGTCAGAAAGGACACTATATAATATGATGAAGGCTCAAGGAAAACACTTTAGTGGTTAGTAGAAAAGTAAAGCAAGACGCTACAGACCACTGACTGACTGACTGACATAAGTACTTAAATAACAGTCGCATCAACCACTAGTGATTGCTAGGCAGGTTGATATGATCTAAACACCAGATGGTCGTTTACTCGACCTAGGCCCAGCCCATCATCACGGATATAACCCGGTTTGACTCGATTCAAATCAACCAAATTCAGGGGTGAGGTATGACCTCGAACGGCGTAAACTGCAAATCGCGAGTGATCAACGATGCTAGTTAGACTACTCCTATTCATCCTACGAGGAAAGACCTAGTGAACATCAGCTCTTTCAGATTTTTATCACTAGCAATGCTGTTAACTACGGAAACCAATGAAACTTTCTACAGTTGACACATCCGAATTCATTACATGAATAATCATCCTTACAATACAATAGCTAATTATCAAAGATACACAACATCATATCATATTTTGAAAAGTCTTCATTACTAATGTCCTAATGGCAGGAAATTTGGACGGCAGTTGAGTTGCTTGGATAACTAATTAAGGCGGAAAATAATTATTTTTGCACTCCGATTCAGTAACTCATCGAAAAACTTATAGATTTTGTAATCAAGATTACAAGAGTCTGTTGTGTCATATATGCTTACACGACTGATTTGTGGTTCTGATAGAGAGCTTTGCACACAGGTGCTACACCCCACTATAATGGTCGAAAATGTATGGGATAAAGAGTACATACATGAAGAAACCTGAAGATTCAACGAGTTCGGGAAATCACGAAGAATGGATTGAGAAGTTCTCAGTCACATCACTAACAGTCTTCAGGCATTGGTTCTAAGCACCATTACGACTCCAACCAGGCAGTCTACACCTCCCCAATTGGTTGGCTCAAACCAACGGTCAAAGATTTCATGTTTTGATTTGACCACCCTCAGCTAACATTGGCTGATGAGAAAGGTGATGGTTCGTGATGCGTACCACGCTTCCTAGACATCTCATTCAGTGCAGCCTCACAACCTCATCAGTTGGCTTTCTGTCATCAACTAACACTATACGCCTAACTTCAAGATTACTATTTAGTAAACTAGAAATATTTAAGTAAAAACAAAATAAAACACTGTAACTGGAATACCGAGAAGTTTGTCACTAGTTAGTCATTCGTAGAACATATTTCCAATCTAAGTTTATTTTTAAGTATGATTTCAGAAATGAGATTCCCAGAAATAAAATAATACAATAAATGAGTTAAAATCGAGTCTGCTTAGCTGCTAGCTGTTGAGTAATATTACTATTAAGTTATCTGCATCGGTGGTACAACAGCAGTATGGTCGTCGACCACACCTCATGTGGTCCAGGGTTCGATCTCCGATCACAGACACAATCCTTTACCCCGCTAAGCCAAGAATAAGACTGGTAAAGAAGGAAGCTTGGCCATGAGGCTAGCAACCCTATCTCGTAAAGAATAAACACCACTGCTACTGAAACTTGAAGCATCTGGTTTGAAGCCCTATGTCCCACTAAGGGAACATAAAGCAATAAAAAAAGAATCTACCAACACATTACATTTCGTTAACAAATAGAGTGCTAAAACCTTGTTCAGACAATAATCCTTTCATCCCTATGACATTAAATAAATCCATTGAATATTTAGCAGAATAACAGTTAGATAAGAAGAAATACAATTAATCACAATGGGGTTCGAGCCACCAACACTCCGTCAGTATGCTAAATTGGCTGTATTATCAACATAGCCAGTCTCACTTAGTTTACCAGCTCCCTGGTTTTCTAGCCACTTTCAAGCCCGGGGAAAGAGAGAGGGTTGGACATGAGGCTAGTGCCCCTACACCAAAAATCAATCAAACTGCTACAGACACTTCAACATACAAAAGAAATATTAACAATAATAATAATAAAATCAACAAAGTCAGGGTAGTCCTATCACACAGAATCAGTCTGACAAGTGATACGACTACCAATGGCCGATGACCTTGAGTTGACCAATGAGGACAAGTCATGTATTCTGCACAAAAATGGCCGTTTATCAACGATAAGAATATGCATAATGGTAATGAAACACGCTAAAGACGGTACTTCCCCCTGACGTAACTCAAAAATATATCCCAGTTACAGTGAGAGATATCAGTTATAAAGTTTTATATATATATATATATATATATATATATATACATGCATCAAAATGGTTTCATCTTTATAGAAAACGACCTTTTCTCCTTCAAATTACTTATTGACTAGAAAAATACAAAAAATGATCAAGCACCTTAATCCCGGCCCTAATCCCTACCCTTGCCCTAGCCTTCATACTAATTCCTAACATGCTATCAACCCATTATCCAAATAGTACTTAGAAAAAAGACCGGGATGAAATTTGCACAGCAATTCGTACACAGAGTTGATAGTGACAATGTAATAACAGCAGGTTCCGTAATCCAACGAATAGTATGCGTTGGTGTGTTCGCCCTCCGCAGCCGCTATTCTTTCGGTTGGTCCGCTGAGAAAACACTCGTTTCACTAATCGTGAATGTAGTCTACGTTTTGATTCAAGTATTTCCTAACAATCTCATTTATCTGCTTTTAACAACTAGGGTTAAGGTTAGCAGTTAGATAAGGTTTAGGAGTTAGAGGTAAACTCAAGTTTGATACTAAAGGTTGTATTAAGGTTAGTGGTTAGGTTTAGGATCAGGCTTTACGGTAAAGCAGAATCGTCCGACTTAACAGATTCGCCATTTAAATATACAATTTATCTACAAACTCAAGGGTTTTTATAGTCCTTCATTCAGACTGTTTATTTTAAGTCATTCGGTGGCTGTTATAGTTCACCTTCATTAAGATTTAAAAGTCAATTGAGCACTTTAGGTTGGTATTGTTGGATTCTTGCTTGGGGTAGAGCTGAAGGTGTTATCCTTAAGGATAATGGAAACCTCAGCAAAACTGCCTATCCCAGAGAAGACAACAATACCAAAAGTGTTGGTAAACGATAAGCTAGATAAATCGAGTGTAATGTAATGCTATAAAAACTAATCAATATTACTCTAATGAAGAGTAAAATAATATCAGCTCGTCAACTAATTAGCACATGAACACTGACTAGTGGTAATTATTGAATAATGGCTAGCAAATAAATAATTAACATACGTTGAAACAGAGGGTTACTTTCTACAACAAAAAAACATTCCTGCTGAAGTCATTTGAGATAGTCATCGACCTACGTGTTGCCATCCTAGTGAGTGACTTTCTGACATGATATACGTTGATGTTAATTAGAGAACCATTGAAAACCAGCAAGGAGTACTGGACAGCTGCTTCATTAACAGGAGTTAGAATTTATAGGCCATCGGATTCCGGTCCAGGTGGATGAATGATCAGTCAATGGACTTATCCTCGTAACCTGGAGATCCTGAGTTCAACCCCAGGTACCAGTCATGTGTACTACTGAAGAGTCCCAAACTAGGACGAAACATATGTCAACTAAGTACTTACTGCTGGTCCTCAATAGTTCAAACATGAAACATATCAAGCCCCTATAAACTAAATCTTGTAAATAAGTAAATTTAAATATGGCCACCAATACCGAACTGCTTAAAACACGTTACTTACCGTGATACCGTTTGATTGATGAAAGCATGGGTATTACCGCAATCTAGTGTACGCCCAAAACACAGCCGTTCTCTCTATCCGGTAATGCTCGCGAGTAAGGTGAGAATGAAAATAACAGACGTGTTCTGCCTAACCACCAAAAATGATTTCCTTGACCTTCAAAAATTGTCCGACTATGTAGACAACCAATAGCGTAAAATCAAAACAACATGTTGACTTTTTGATCTGTCCTTTTAATTACAAAGACCTGTATTTTTCACATTAGAATTTTTTATCATGAGTCATCGTCACTTAGTTAAATCATCCAATCAAATGCCCGGGACGTGGTTACTACTTCTATTACATAGTGTAGTGTCTAAAATGCGGACATCATGTATTTTGTTGTGACCAATGTTAATGTGATCAAACAGTCTGATCTCAATTTCATATAGGGCATTAAAATGACCTTGTTTACATGTAGACGAGGTGATGAATAGGACAGATTTATGTATACAGACTTGATTTATGCAAATTTCCCCCACAAATATATTGACTTTTAAAAGTACATATTCTTCAATACACAGAGTACAACATGTTTAGTTAGTTGTTAACATAGCCCTGGTTTTCCAGAGTTGGTTTGTAAGTTAATGTCAGTATTGTGAATTAGATCAAATAAGGTATAATTATATTTCAATAGTTTACACACAATGATAAGTTTTGTTTTAAGTGAATTTTAGATTTTCCTGTCGATTGATTGAACCTAAGTGATTCGTCTCAGGTTGACATGTCGGCTTCTTGTGCAGATGCTTCGACGATTATTCAATTAAATAATTCAGATGACCCATTGCACAAGAGGTGTCTCTCGTGGCCCAAGTAGTCTAGTGGATAACGCTTTGCCGTTTGAAACTGTGGGCACTGGGTTCGAGCCTCGGTGAGAACATCATCACTCACTGAGAAATGCAGGTACATCCAACTGACGAGTCCCGAATAGGACGAAATGCGCATTTTCATGGATTCCACTGCTAGTCACTATCCACATCAGCGAAATAATAACCCAACGCCTGAAGAATGCAGTTAAAAGAGCTTACTATGCAGCAGAGGTACGGTGTCTCTTCACAACCACCCCTATTCTATGTTCGAGAAATAAGGATAAACTACCTAAATTTGCCTCTTCTATGGGTATCTACCAGTTTACCTGCAGCTGTGGAGCCAGCTACATTGGGCGTACAATTAGCCAAATTCATCGTCGTATTTCCGAACGTCATCCAACATGATTAAGCAAGGGACAAACAAGATCTATTCGTAGTTCTATTTTAGCACACCTTGTTGATACTGAGCATAAGGTTGATGTTAATACTGCATTTAAAATTATTTATCGCATTTCGACTAATCTTAATTTTGCTCTACGAGTTCGTCTTCTACAGACAGCTGAAGCAATCGAATTTCACCTAAAGAAGCCAAGCCTATGTGTTCAGAAGAAATTTTTACAGCCACTTTCCTTACCGTGGCCATCGTTACAAGAATGCATAAACAGGACTACTTCGCCCCCCTCCCCCTAAACCTATAAAAATTATAATTGTCCAAATTATTTTATTTTTCATTTATTTTGACCACTTTATCTTTAATTACGTGTTATCCTTGTAAAATTAATTTATTCTAACCATTTCTACCTTTTAAATGTGTATTGATTTTCTTCGTTAATTATTAACCCATTGACACTGTTTAATTATTGTTAACAGACTTATCGCCACTTGATTGGCAAACTGTTGTGTATTGTAATAAAAATGCTATAGGCGTATTAGAGTAGAACCAGAGATGAGGATCTAATTGAAAAGTCAATATTTCTTCGCTCAATCTTTCTGTTTTCTAAATTAGATAAGTTTTGTAAAAAATTATATTTGTAAAATCTCAGCGATTAGTTTTGTTTTTACGAGTTGATCATGGATTGATATCAATGGATCCTACTAAATTTTCACCTTTTAGATTCCTGTGTCTGAGTAGTAGAAAATAACACGATTCAGAGTAGTTCATAAGCCCTCTATCTTGATGTCAAATCTCAGAAAATGTATAACAATATCTATGAAGGATAGAAAACTTCAAATGGCTTAAATGCAAACAATTCGTAAATGCCCTCAAGCAGTCGAATTTGTACTTTGATGTTGATATCCAATAGAGAATTTAAATTTTCAAATTCTGTTTTCTATCGTTTTAATTAATTTCTACTTAATTCACGAACTATCTTCAGTTAAAGAGCAATTGAGAACCAGGGAGTACTAGATGACTGTTTCGTCTCGTTTAGGACTCATCAACACTATGCACTTATAATCCTATCAAAGATATAATCCAAGACTTTCGCATCACCAGAAGAGCTCATTGACTATTTATTAAGCCATTGAGACGAGATTGAATGGCTCATAAATTCTAACTACTAACGTTGCTTGGAGATTTGGTGAGAAGTCGTGATCAGTAGGATTCAGCAGTCATCAAAATTTACTGAAGCTGGAATTCATAGGTCACTGCATTCCATCCCAGTGTTTGAGTGGTCAAAAGGCGAATCTCGAAACTTGAAGATTCTGGGTTTGACCATTGAAGGTGATGCCCTGGGTGAATACTGTGAAGAGTCTTCAACTAAGACGAAACAGTTATTAAGTACTCGTTGATCCTCAATGGTTCTTAAACTAAATTCAAATATTCATCTAATCTGGGATCAGATTCGGATGCCATGGGGTTGAAAAAGACCAAGGATTAAGGAAATATTAACATAAAAGTGATCGGTTTAATGATCAGGATAAATCTGATCTCGGAAATTAACGCGTAATACTTTTGCGTAAGTGCTAAAATGTTTTATTTGAAATACCCATTACATTTGCGAATGCTTTTCGGCTGTCGATTAACAGACATCTCAGAGAGACTGTATTGAAACGCTTGTGTTCGCCTGTTTATTGCCTGTTCAGTTACTAAATTTTGCAGAAGCAATGGTTGATTCCGAATCCGTTCTCTCTGCCTATTACTCTTTTAGTAGTTCTAGTAGTGTAGTGTAAATATTTTCAAAATTTTCAAACTTTGGAAATAAACAGGCCATATAATTCTAACTCTTTTACTGTGAGACTAAGGCAATCGCAAAACAAGTCCTACGTCAATGCATTTGAAACACATAACAAGAACAGTTTACTGTACACTGTGCCTCTGATTTTATCAAATAATCATAACGTCTTGAAATAATAGAGAAGATTTGTAGCTCAGGTAGATGATTTGCAATCAATAGTTTTCTCTGAACTGGTCGGTTTAGTTGCGGAGCTTTCGTCGTCCTCGCTGCTAGGAAAACATCCTCCTTCAACTCAAATTTTAGCATAAAGTGAGCTGATTTAAATTTTCCATCAGTGACAGGATTGCATATCCCGGTAACCAACCATCTTTACATATGTAATGAGCAATTTCTATTGACTTGGATTTTAAACTTTCTGGTCACATGATCTACTTTTGGTATATTTGGTATTAGTTGGAATATTTGATCTATATTAACATGTCGTCTATTAATCGTGTATTCGTTTGATTACCAGGCTTCTAGGAATTCCCTGGCAGTATTTTTGGTGTTTTCTCTGTCTAAAATTTCGACATCATCCCAACCGTTTGAAATAGATATAACACACAAGCCAGTCAGCACATTCGCTTCATTCATCGATATTGTGCAAACCGGAAGATACAACAAAAAAGGAGATAAAATTAATACCATTTACAAAATAAATTGTATGAACTGTAATAGACATTACATCGGCCAAAGTGGGTGCCCCCTTCGAATCTGAATCTAGGAACAAAAATCACCCATGAAAAGAAATGATATGTATTCTTTCATATCAATGCATATAGACAATTATGGACATCAGTTTGATTGGGATAACGTCGAAATTTTAGACAGAGGAAACACCAAAAATACTGCCAGGGAATTCCTAGAAGCCTGGTAATCAAACGAATACACGATTAATAGACGACATGTTAATATAGATCAAATATTCCAACTAATACCAAATATACCAAAAGTAGATCATGTGACCAGAAAGTTTAAAATCCAAGTCAATAGAAATTGCTCATTACATATGTAAAGATGGTTGGTTACCGGGATACGTAATTCTGTCACTGATGGAAAATTTAAATCAGCTCACTTTATGCTAAAATTTGAGCTGAAGGAGGATGTTTTCCTAGCAGCGGGGACGACGAAAGCTCTGCAACTAAACCAACCAGTTCTGAGAACACTATTAATTTAAATCATAACATCTTTAAGCTTAATATAACGTTCCATACAGTGTGGAGTTTTCAGTATCTACTACAATGGTACATCTAATTTTCTGCTTACATTTACGCAGTCTAATGGGAGGAAACAAATACACACGGCATTTAACATGGATAGTAATGTCATTACAGAATACGAATGTCAACTTACAATTAGGTAGAAACACTAACAGTATATTAAATGACTAAAAAAAGACGAAAAGATTAATGTCAGTAAAAAGTTTGAGCATTGTGGAATAGATGAAATAAAGGTATAATTATATTTCAATAGTTTACACACACACACGCACAGTGATAAGTTTTGTTTGAATAAGGCATTAGGAAGACAAATTTCGCGAGATGATATCGTCATTTCGTAGTTTCTTTACAACCGCTTTACAACTAACATGGTTAACAATGATAAAATAAACCATGTTAACCATGTTAGTTGTAAAGCGGTTGTAAAGAAACTACGAAATGACGATATCATCTCGCGAAATTTGTCTTCTTAATGCCTTATTCAAATTTATCAAAGGGACTAATTGTTTTAATAAGTAGACGACACGTTAGTAATGATGAAAAAAACGACGTTGAGAAATTCTCCTCACACACATAAATCGACTCTGGACACCAAGTCAAACCAGAAACAAACTTCAAAGTTATCTACAGAATACAAGGCAATCTTGCTAAAAGTGTACGGATCAAACTTCTCCACATCGCAGAAGCAATGGCAATTCATCTGCTAAATCCTGAACTCTGCATACAAAAGAAATTCGTTCATTC